GCTGTATACATATAATATATACAAAAATAATATAATCATATATAAAGTGGTAATACACAGTTATATGTAATTATAATCGTATGTAATTATATATATATATATATATGAAAAATTTTTTACGAAGAGAGTAAATCAAACCGAGATTAATCTACCCTTAGTATAACTAAACATAAAATAAAGAGGCTAAAAAAATTAATTAAACCTGGAAATTAAAATTAATAAGTATTAATTTTGATAGACAGAAATCGCGCACATAGAAACACGGATGTAAGTTTCAGTTCTCGATCGAAGTGTGAATTTAAATCCGACAATCGATCACACGTGCAAGAGATATGTAACGCACTTCGTACTGCAACAAAATACGCGCGTGTGTGCATGGTCTTCCGATCGGGTTCGCGATTCATCAAATGTGACAATAGCGAAGAGGACAACTTGTTATACGAAAACGTATGTACAATTCGATCGAGTCCACCGGCGTCCATCGATCGCGCGATTCTTCCCGCAGTTCGTTCACGCGTCTCGCTTGTGTTTCTTCTTCTTCTTCTTATTCCTATTCTTGGCCGAAGCTGTCTTACGGCGCTGTCAATACAGGCCACGATTCAATTCGAAAAATGTGTGAGCAGAATCAAAAAAGCAAGTGATGACGCAATACCAAAAAAATTTTTGTGGGGACAAAAAACGTCCGAACCACTCAACGGCCCGAGAAGGATTTTCTCGCTTGTGTTTGAATGCCATAAACGCGCTCGTATCATCACGTGTGCGCGTCGCTATGCGGATCGATAACTAGAAAAAAAAAGGAGTAAAATAGGAACGCGTCCCTATGTGAACACGGACGACGCAATTATCCCGCGTTCTCGGATATAACAACCGATTGCGTAATAATTCATGTCGTCAGATCGTCAGAGTCGAATCGATCGGGTCGGATCCCGTTTATTTATTTTCTACCGCAAAAATGACTGCGTTCAGCAGAGAAAGTAGATCAGTAAGCGCTCAGTGATTTTTCAATGTGATTGGTCCTTGCCTTTAGATCTTCGTTGAATGTAAGTGTAGAAACCAATCATAATAAAGAATCACTTAATGCTCACTGATCTTTCTCTGCTGAACGCAGCCTATCATCCTGTGCGTAATGATAGTTGGCATCCCTGGCATCTTTCTCGTGGCTACGCTTGTCACTATTGCTCGCTGTCACTCATGCTCACGTTACGATGTGTTTACGTTGTAACTCGGGAAACGCTGCTATTTTATAAGAACGAGTCACTTCGAATCCGACGGGATGAAGCGCACGGTAATGATCAAGTTATGTCCACCATTCTCTATGATGACAATTGCGGACACTTTATATCTTTTTTTTCTTGTTTTTTTCTTGTTTGTGACAATTTTCTAGGTTATTCTAGGTTAATTTGTCAATACTAAACATTATTTACGTACACGATTGTATGGACGTTGCTCGTGCGACAGAACGATTACTGCTCCGACGAAGCAGCGCCCGATCGTACACATCGCAAAATTCACGAATTGCACCGTGCACGTTCTGTTTTAATTCATAATTCTTTGATTTTCAGATACCCGAGGAAAACAGTGAAAGCAAACGAACCTTCATCAGCCAAGAGTCCATCAACTTTGGATACGATGCCTCGTCATATACTACAAATTATTCATCATCATCATCCACAGCTTCCACTATCGCTCAACCTCTACCTGGACAACCACCCTTGCCTCCTATGCCACCGCCAAGTGGAGTCCCACCTCCACCACACGTATTTGGACCAGTGCCTTCCCAAGTAACTCCTATTCAGGCGTGGACACACCCACCTACCCCATGGCCGTGGATAACACCGCAAGCATCTCCTTTGCCACCTCCAACTCCTCGTGAACTCACTAATACGATTCAGAGAGAGATGCCGTTAAGGGGCAATTATGTACGTCACGAAAGGTTTACTCACAATAGAAACAACATGTATGTTCAGAGAAATAATTTTCATCGTAAAAATAAAAGGCCCATGCGTTTTGGACAGTCACAGAGTCAGTTTGATCAAAATACATATTTTGGTGCAACATTAACGGGCAGTCTTGGGTTGGAATGGCAAAGGAATAATTATAACACAGTAGCGAATGATGCTATAATAAGCCACATGACCGTTCCTTTATCCAATCATCCTATACCTTCTATTCCACCAGGAATCGTGAGTAACAGGCATGGCGAGGAGACGGAGGATCAGGATGTGAAAATTGTACTAGAGAATATAATTCAAGTATTATATCTTTGTTACAAGGATATCTAATGTAATAAATTTTTTTAGGAAAAAGTAGTAAAAAAGAATAAACAAAGGAAGCCCATGTCTCAAAGTTATCCTAGTAAACCATGGAATAGGGAAGACGCCGAAAGAGCTTTGATGACTGAAAATGAATATAATATGAAGAATAAAGTTAATGCACAGAGCCTAATAATTAAGTTTCCCGACCCAGATTTGAATAAGGATATTGTTAGATTATTTCATCCTGGTATACGAAATATACATTTTCAAAATCCAAGTGGACCGAGGTATTGCTTCATTCAAATGGCGAAGAGTGTGAATATTGACGAAGCTATAAAAGAATTGGAAAAAATTAAATTTGGTACAGGATATTTGAAAGTTGAGAAAAAAGCGGTAAGAAACGAGGATGTTCGAAATACAAAACCCGAAGATATAAATCCTTACAACTTATACATAGGAAATTTGCCCACATTCGTTAAAGCGAACGAAATAAAAAGCAAATTTCCGAAAGCACGTGTAGATGTATCGAGGGCACGGAAACTGAAAAATACACAGTTAGTTATAATTATAATATTAATATAAGAATTTATTAGTTAATATAAGAAATTATAATTTCTTATTTCATTTTTTTCATTTTTAAATTTATAATATTTTATTTTATCATACAGATTTGCTTTTATGAGATATAACAGTGTAGACGATGCAATAGCAGATTACAAAAAAGCATATGGTTTAATGTGGGACACAAGAAGTATTATCGTTAAATTTAGACGAAAGGAAGGTAACGCTTACCTTCCAGAAGAACTTAAACCTGATGTTAAAAAAGTTAAAGAGGAGCCAAATAATGCTATACAAGTAAAAAAAGAAAATATGAATCATAATGAACCTAAACTCAGTGGTAATAAATTGAAAGAAGAAGAAAATGGCATCGATCAAACAAAAGAAGATAAAGTTAGTCACGCGGATAAACAATCAGCAAATCAAAATATCAATAATGTGGAAGCACGTTTGCAAGATAATTCCAGTAAAGCACAAAGCAAATCAGTCTCGCGAGTTCTGGAAAATACAAATTCGCATTCCTCCGCATTACCAACTTCAGTCACATTAGATACGACAATAAAACAACAACTATCTTGGGTAATAAATATAGAATTAGTGTTATTGTGTGCAATTGCGTATAAGAAGCTAATTTCTATGTTACATCAGAAGGAAAAATTATTTATATTATTAATATTAAAAATTATTTATATTATAGATCCCTGAAATAGGTAACTTATTATTATTATATAATAAGTTTTTCTTCACTTTTATTTTTAACTCTCTATTCTCCAATTTTTAATCAACTTTTTATAAAGAAAGATTCAAAATTCGAGACTCGATTATTTTTACGCAGAGCCACGCGTTATCCCAAAATGATTTAAATATATTTCATATATATTTCAGTATATTAGACTTTATAAACATTATAAAACTGTGTTTTGTGTGATTTATACATTACGATTGTCCAGAAAAGTTAATAATTTTATTCATATGTTACAGCCTTCTCAAATACCTTCGACATTGGAAAACCAATCATCGTGTCCAGCTCAAACTGATCCTGTCGAGGAAACAATGATGCTCACACAGATCAAAGAAGAACCTATGGATTACGATGATACGGACATGTGTAATACGCAGTCCGACGAGGATGATGACGATGATGATGACGACGATGACGACGATGTCGAGGAACAAGACGATACTGACGATGATGAGGATAATAATGAGGAAAACTGTGTGTGTGAAGAAGACGATGAAGACGAAGACATTGATAGTGATGGAAATATAGCGTTTAGCAGAAAACCATCAATAACAACACGGAATGACGAAGACGAACCATCAGACGTAAGTTTAACAGTTAATCAAGTTAAGATTAATTATTTATTTGAAATCTTTCTATAAATTTCTAACGATTTGCTTAAGACTTAAATATTTGATATTGACTTTCTTATTTCAGCACCTTGATGAAATGTTCAGCAAATTGGAGAACATGACAAATGATATCGGTTTCTTGAAACTTAATTTAATTA